TGAGTTTTACTTTTTATTCTGATAGTAGAATTTAACTTGACGCCACAGTTGTTGATATCAAATCGTTCGTACAAATAATACATACCATTAGATTAATATTCATTATTTATTTAATTTGGCATGGTATAAAGAAGTGGGATTTAACTTGGCACCAGTTCTTGATATCAAATCTTTTATAGGAATAATACATAAAATTTTTTTGATAAAATTTTGATGAATTTAACTTGGCGCCAATTTTGTTGATATCAATTATACGAATATGATACATATCATTAGAGTTAAATAAATTATTTTTTCTTTGGAAGGAATAAAATGGTAAAATTTAATTTGTTCGAATTACATTGAATTTAACTTGGCACCAATTGTTGATATCAAATCTTTTATACGAATGATACATATCATTAGTTTTACTTAACAGCAAACGTGATTAGTTATCAGTTTCACGGCCGATTAAGTAATTGGCGTTGGTGAAACTGGCCCAAATGGTAATTCTTTACGAGAAGCACCATTTGGGCCAATTTCACCAACGCTTAGCGCTTTTTTTTATAAATTTAAGATAACAGAAATCAATTAAGAGAGAATTACCAATGTGAGCCAACAAAATGTTTTTTGCAAAATGTTATATATTATGAATCATAAGTATAAATTACAGACGTTTCGACATCATTATTGTGTTTGCTTCAAATGTATAAACCATATTCTAGATATAGGAAGCAACTTTCTTTATTTCATTGAGACGCTTACTATATCTAGAATATGTTATTCCTACATTTAGTAATGATGTCGAAACGTCTGTAATTTATGCTCATAATTTATAATATTGATAAAAAATACTATAAACATAGTATAATTATTATATGAATGTATAAGTAAAAACAGTGTGTATAACTGTCAATTAATGTAAGGCAAGATTGTTTAAAACTACTTAGGGCGACTGTTACCAACGCCGATTAACTTAATCGATTAACTCAATCAGCAGTATAGCTAACGGCAAGTCTGTATATTGTTCTTATTATTATGTTCATGATATACTTTAATCTCTGTGTTCCTACTTAATTCTGTCTATAATAGAATGACTGCTGATTGAGTACCGAGGTTGGTAACAGTTGCTCTTAGAATATTATAAATGTAGTCAAAATATAATAATTACAGTAATATGAACCAACAGGAAGTATGTATATCGTTCTTACTATCTTCGTGAATCATACATAATAATAACTAGATAATTTGCGGAAGGAATGAAATATAATAATACTTGTGTTTATTACATATTTGTAAATTCCATTTGAGAAAAATCTTCTTGATATGCAATAGCTCCTGGCAGACTTGGGAAATTGTTCGTTGCAGATAAACAGATATCTAAACCATACGTGAATGAATTTGACAAAGTTCTAAATTTTGTTCCAAACATCTTTGTGTAAATTGCATTTGAGACAAACCTCGACAAGAAACACATCATGAAACGTATCTTTAAATTACAAGTTACATAATAATGTACGTACAAAGTCGAACCTCCTCGAGGTTAATAAAATCATTCAACGCATTTTTGCACTACCGCGAACCGAGTTATTAATTATTATTGTTATAATTAAAGTTGACAGATATCCAGAGGAGATCTGTTGCATCGATAGCATAAAGGAAAACAATTCTGCTTTACATTCTGCTTTACAGACAAATATTTAACCAAACAAATATTCTGCTGTATAATTTATGCCATCAATATGACGGATATGTTTCCTAACCTGAATAGTGATCAACTTTAACGATCTCGGTCTACGGAGTAAAGCGATACATTTTTACTTGCCAGATTCGTTCATTTCGTGCAAATGTAGAAGCAGAAAATCACTTACGTGTCCTCTATGCCATCGATGTGACAGTTTTCCTAACCTAATCATCAGCCACAGAAAACGGACACATGTGTCACATGTGTGATGTGACCATGCACATTGCCAGAGCCATATTTGTCTCTAGCGCCGAAAAATCCAAAAGGACATTTCCCTTACCCCATAGCCCTGTCGACGACGGGTGGCACCCAGTTGGACACAACTCAATTGGACACGAGCCACTCACAGCGCTTGAGACTACAAAGCTCTTAAGCACCGGTCGCTGTGATTGGTGATGTCCAATCGAGCCGTGGTCAATCGGGATCACCCCGTCGACGATGACGACGACGACGTTTCTTAAATTAAAAATTTCAAGTTCGGATTTTGCATCGCAATATCTCCGCTCGTAGAGCACGTAGTGAAAAAAACAAAAACACTTTCATTATACATTCCGAGCGGATGCAATCGATTGAGCACACTTAGAACTCAATCGGGACAGCGTTATTGAGATCCCATAATCGCCGTCTGGAAATTTTGACAGATTCGCGTAAAGTAGCCACGGCAGTGTCGCTGCGCTTGGCTTAGCGCCGAGACATTACCAATGTCTCCAGATACAAATCAATAGCGCAACTATTTTTGAACAAAATAGTAATATATAGGAAAAGAAATTGAAAAAGTTTTACGAGAGAGAGAGAGAGAGAGAGAGAGAGAGAGAGAGTGCGTGCGTGTACGTGTGTGTCTACTTTAGCTCGATTTTTAGCTAAGCGTCCATGCAGGGTTATATTGGCATTATTTTATCCACTATAAAAAAACCCAGGGGGTTTTCTGGGATTTACCCACTTAAAAAAATCCGAAATTTGTGAGGGTTTTTTTTAGTTTTATTGGGATTTTGAATTAAAAAAATAAATTTTTTAATCGGAATAATCGGTAACACATAAAAGGAGCGTATTTATAAATATTTAATGAATATAGGTATATTAAACTAACTGGTCTGATATAATGTTAATATATTATATCAATTTTAATACATACAGGGTGTACAAAAAGTCCCGGACCCCTTAAATATCTTGGAAAGTACACATTGTTAAGAAAAATGTTTAAAAAAAAGTTGTAGGGTTTAAAAAGATCTACTAATCATATCCGTCTGACCTTGGCAACGCCACCCAATGTCAAACGGATGTGATCATAGATTTTTTAAACCCTACAACTTTTTGTCTGAAACATTTTTCTCAAAAATGCTTATTTTTCAAAATATTTGAGGAGTCTGGGACTTTTTATACA